CTTTGCGGTGGTTCCTCCTCTGGTCCGAGGAACACCCCCAGATGGTGCAGCGATGTTGTGCTCCAATTGATGGTTTTTGCCTTCTCCGGACACTCGGTCATGTCCCACGCTCCAACCAGTAGGCCGCTGCACTTTGCCAGTTCATTTTGGATGAGGAGGCCTTCTAAAAGACCTCCTGACACTCGTGCAGCAGGGCGACATCATCCAGGAAACGAAGGATGAGGAGGATGTCGTCGGCGGTATGCCGTCAGGACCAACTTGACACTTGGTTCCCTGAGCACCAGGCCGTTGAGTCTCCGCCTTATAAGACTCAGAAAGGCTCTAATGCTAAGGCATAAAGTTGGCCCGACAATGGGCATCCCTGTCTCACTCCTCGCTCGAATTTTACCAGGGCAGTGAGGGCGCCGTTGACCTTGATCATGCACTCCGCCTTGGTGTAGAGTAGGCGGATCATTCGGACAAAGCCATCCCCAAAACCAAAGGTCTTGGTGTTGTGGGGCACCATGCCTCTCACGATCCGCCAGAAGATGTGGCTAGGTGCACGGAAGTGGTACGGCCCACGCGATGGGTTGGTGTTCATGCGCTTACGCAGGAAGGCCAGGTACTTCAGCTTGTTCCTGTAGAAGTTGCCCGAGATGTTAATTCCCTCACATCGTACAACTACCACTTTGTGACCAATTAGGATCTGCTCTCTTCCTCCCTCCCTTCCTCCCTTCCTCTCTCCTCCCTCCCTCCCTCATTTTTATTATCAGAGGAAACAAGAAGATGCTCGGTCTCCTCCCTCCCTCCATCCTGCTTAGGGAGGTTAACGACAGCTGCGCTCGTTACAAACGCCATGACGGTTTGTTGCAATCGGCACCAAGAAGGACGCGGAGTTATTTATTTTGCTTGTTCACCCAGAGGTAGGGGCTGTTGCTGCAGCGGCTGCTGCTGCTGTGCGTTCAACGTCCCCGCGTAGGGGTGGATGCATGGAAGAGAGAGGTGCGACCCGGGGGGAGCACTCAGGGTGGTGAGAGTGCAGTGAGAGAGGGGAGTGGAGGAGGAGGACAGGAGACCGGTGAGAGCAGTGGAGACGGTGACGCACCAATACGTGGAGTGCAAGAGCCTGGACTTGTTGTTCAAGGTCCTCAAAAACATCCTCCTAAGGTTCAGCCTCCACTTCTCCCCGACGGTCCTCATCTTTGTGTAATGAAAGCCTATGTCCGGCTCACGTGGTGATCGGCTCTGCCGGTCCTGCTCTACAGCCAATGGGGGGAGAGCCTGGGAGCATGGCCCTGGCGTGATCGATGGATGTCAGCTAGGATAATTGGTTCTGCTGGTCTTGGCCTCAGCCAATGGGAAGACAAGTCAGGGGCGTGGTCCCGGGAGTTGATGGGGGAATCTGGAACATTCAGCGCAGGCTAATAAGGATTGGCTGGAGCGTACCACGTGACCCAGTCATTAAATAAGGGAGGAGCCGAGGGACACATGGTCAGACAAGGAACGAAGAGAGAGAGGGGCCACGCGCGAGCGGGGCTCCGAGTGCCACATGGCGGTGCATCTCTTGCGATCTGTCTGCCCACTTCCCGTTACCTGCCAGCAACGGGGAGTGCTTGTGAACTGAGATAAGTATATAAAGGACCGATTCCACAAGCCGTCTCCAGAGTATTATTACATTGGTGTCAGAAGTTCTTCTGGGACCGTTTGGACAATCTTTCTCGATGTCCAAGCACCTCAGAAAAAAGAACCCACCCGACCCTCCATCGGAGGAGGTTGTGGAGACGGACGAAGGACGATGTGCTGGGAGCTACGGCTCCTCTGCCTCCGGCTGCTGCTCACCTTGATGCCGCTCATCGTTGACGGAGGAAGAAACGACCACCTCGAGGGCGGACGAAGGATGGCGGCTGATGGCGGAGCAGATCGAGTCGCTCCGCGCGATTTTGCTCAATTTGGTGACAGCGGTCGCGTCCTCTACGGCCCTGGGTCGGCCGCCAGCGGTTCAGCTTAATGCCGAGGACCAAGATCTTCGGCGGGAAACGACGTCCGCCATCGCTCCTGCCACGCGGGGGGTGGCCTCCATCTTGGGCGGGGCGACGGCGACGGAGCCGTTGGACGCCATCTTGCACGAGGCTGACACCATGCGGCCACCGGACGCCATTTTGACGGAGACGCGCAGAACGCGGGAAGTGGAGTATGAGACACTCGAGGCGTCTGCCTGCCACCGCGGACATCATCTTCCACAGATCAAAGAATTTATCGCCGGGGGCAATTGGAGTGCTTTTACGTGGCGCTTCGAGTCGGCTTTTAGATCCGTGCGTTGGACGGAGGCGGAGGCGCTGGAAGCGTTGCCCACGCTGCTGGATGATGTTTCCCTGGCGATCTTCCGATCCATCCCGGCGTCCAAGAAGAAGACGCTTCGTGATGCTTTCGCAGAAAATGGCGGAGTTTTACGACCCACCGACGGCAGCCACGAGAAAATTTATGTCACGTCGTCGAGGATCAGAGGAATCGCCTTTGGCTTACCGGGGGGCGCTGGTGGCGTTAGCCATGGCCGTTTACCCCGACGCGACTGGCTGATCACCTCGATCCTCTCATTCTTTCCTGTATGCTGGAGCTGTCCCAGGAACTCAACATCTCGCTGCCGGTATGCGGCCACGAACCGCTTACATCGCGATGGGTGGCGCGCTGCTTGGACGCTAAATTTAACCTCAAGCGCTGGGATCAGATGGCGGCATGGACGGGAAAACCGGAAATTGATGGCCCACCTTTGGGGTGGTCTCCACGACGGGTCGTCCACTGCTCCAATGACTCCGGCGACGACGAGGTGGTGGCTGCTGTTCCGCACTGGATTCTGAGACGATGGCTGCGCGACCAGCATGGTGACTACGCGGGCCGACCACGTGCGGGGGCTGGGTCAACCGACCGTCGGCCGACGACGGCCACGTGTTTCAAGTGTGGCCGACGAGGCAATTTTGCCCGCGACTGCCGCTGCCGACCTCTGCCTTCGCCGCTTCCGCCGAGTGGACCTCCATCTCCTCCACCGGGCGCGGAGCCGCGACACCCTCGGGCGAGTCGGCACAAATCGGACACCCGGCAGGTCTTGTCACATCATTTATCCACTCGCACACATAGTTGCACTTCAAATGATAACTGTGGTTCTTCTGTGTCATTACCACGCTCTACTACACAATTGAAAAAAATTGGCTCGTAGGGTTGTGGCTGCGGCGTCGGGCTCATCGACGGTACGAGGTACCATCGAGGGCATTGACGTCCGTATTTTGGTGGACACTGGCGCGTCTGCCACCATCATTTCCGATGTCATTTTTCATCTTTTGTCTATTCCCACGTCACGAATCCGCCCGGTTAATGACGCGTGTGTAGCCGCAAATAGGGGTAGCATGGGTATTTCGGGCAAGTCGATGTGCGTATTGCTATCGGTAATATTACCGCCAAAGGATCGGTGTTGATTTCTCGCTCACTGGCCATCCCATGTCTATTAGGCACGGATTTCTTGCGCCGCATGCCACTTAAGATACTGGTCGACCAGGATTGTTTATAAATGCTGGGGGGTCGTAGGATGTCGTTCTTGCCTTCCCTGCTGGCCCATTCGCCCCCGTGTAACGCAGTTAACGCCATGGTCGCTGCCATGGTAGAGGTTCCATCTGGCTCACAAATGCTTATCCCGCTGTGTTACTGTAAACCCTTTCAGGTTAAGGACGGTGTGAGGGGCGTGCTATTATCCCCGCCGAATTCGGTGTCTAAATCTTTTTCCCTGGTGGCGGCTCAAACAATCGTACGGCCGGGTCAGGCCCCGTTCATACAGGTGTTGAATGGTGACCCGGACCAGGTCGTTGTTCCGGCTGGATCGGTATTGGCTCACGCCACTACCGATTTCACCAGTTTTGACGGAAAGCCACATATTGAAACACCCACCGATGGACGGCCGCACGACCGTTCACAGGAACGGTGGATCGCGGACTTGTGCAGGAAAAATTCCTCTTTATCGAACATGCAAAGGACTTCTTTGCATTCATTGTTATTACGGTATGCGGACGTTTTCAGTAAAAATGATTTGCATCTCGGCCATACCTCGCTTTTGTCGCACCATAATGACACCGGTGCTACGCCTCCGACTTGTATGCACCTGCATCGCATGAGTCCTGCTGAAAGGGAACACGTGCGCGGCGCGGTAGACGAGATGTTGGCGGCAGATATTATTTCGCCGTCCAACAGTCCTTGGGGCGCGCCGGTGGTACTGGTTAAGAAGAAGAATGGTGGAACGAGATTTTGTGTAGATTTCCGCCGGTTGAATAAGATATTCGTGGTGGACGCATATCCTTTACCGCGGATGGACGACTTATTGGACGCTTTATCAGGGGCAAAATTCTTCTCCACCCTCGATCTGTCCTCGAGCTTTTGGCAGCTTCCCCTCGATGACGCGTCGAAACCCAAGACGGCATTCCGCACGCCGCAAGGCCTCTTTAAGTTTAACCGGTTACCGATGGGCTTGAATGCGGCTCCGGCGACGTTTCAATGCCTGATGGAACTGGTACTGGTGGGACTACAGTGGGAGACATGCCTCATATATTTAGACGATATCATCGTTTTCAGCCGCACGTTCGAGGAACACCTCCAACGACTGGAGACTGTTTTTCAGAGAATGCGTTCGGCTGACCTAAAGTTTAAACCGAAGAAATGCCACCTTTTGCAACACTCCTGTCCGTTACTTGGGTCATATCGTCAGTTTGGACGGCGTGTCCACTGACCCTCAGAAAACGCAATGTGTCCGAGAGTGGCCCACACCCACTTCGGTGGGCGACGTTCGGCGTTTCATTGGGTTTGCATCCTACTATCGCCGGTTCGTTAAGAACTTTGCCACACTGGCTAAACCACTGCATGTTCTGACGGGCAAAAATCAGAGGTTTAAATGGGGTCCAGAGGAGGAACGCTCTTTTCACTCGCTTCAGGATCACCTCGCCACGGCGCCTACGCTCGACTACCCAGACTTTTCCCAGCTGTTCATCCTTGACACGGATGCTAGCGATATCGGCATCGGGGCCGTTTTATCGCAACGTAAAGACGGAGTTGAGCGAGTGGTTGCATACGGCAGCAGGGTTCTGTCCCCTGCAGAAACACGATATTGCGTGACGTGGCGGGAACTTTTGGCGATCAAACATTTTGTCCGGCTGTACCGGCCCTACCTGTATGGGAGGAAATTCCTCGTTCGCACTGATCACGCGGCTTTGCAATACTCGTTAAAATTGGACCAACCATCAGGCCAACTGGCTCGGTGGTTGGAATCGTTACAGGAATTTTCCTTCGATATCACGTACCGCAAGGGTGCTCGCCACGCCAACGCGGACGCGCTCTCCAGGTTACCACCCATTCCCCCGTGTGCTTGTCTGATGGGTATGCACCGCTGTGCAGCGCCGCCTACCTCGCCCTGTGCGGTTATGGGAGCGATGTCGAACGAGGACAGCCAGGATGTACCAGTGGGCACTGATGATACCCTGCGGCTGCTGCACTCGGTGTGGCTATGCGAGCAGGAGGCCGATGCCTCTCTGGCTCCGCTGCGGAAACTGATCGGGAAACCGAGAGCTCATTTGGCGGGATGGAAATGGCAGATGTTCCGGGGCCGGGCGGGACTATTGATGTGTACTGATGGATTGTTTGACCGATCACGCCTGGTCGTGCCTACATCCCTTCACCATGACCTGCTCCACTCTCTGCACACTGACAAATTAATGCACCTCGGCGTGCAGAAGACTTTGGCCGCAATGCAGAAAGATTTCTTTTGGCCCGGCATGACGGCAGACGTTAACGACTTTGTCCGGTCATGCCATGATTGTGCGAAGAGGAAACAACCTCGGAAACATTATGTGCCGCCACTACGTTCCATTGAGATATCCCGTATCAATGAATTAGTCGCTCTGGACATCCTGGGGCCGTTCCCTCCATCGGCTAGGGGCAACAAATACCTTCTGGTCGGGGTAGAATATTTTTCTCGATTGCCTATGGCCTGGCCTCTGCCTGACTAAACGGCCGCGTCCATCACCGATGCTTTCTTGAACGGTTATGTCATGGATAAAGGGGCACCCGAGAGGCTGCTCACAGATCAGGGACGTAACTTCTCCTCCAAATTGTTCAAGGATGTTTGCGATGCGCTGGGCACCAAAAAAATTCGCACTTCTCCCTTACCATCCGCAAATGGATGGCATGGTGGAACGATTTAACCACACCCTTTCGGCTATGCTTTGTCACATGGTGAGTGAAAAACAGACCGATTGGACGGCCTACCACATGGTTCCTCACGCGTCCACGGGATATTTGCCATTTTTCCTGATGTATGGGTTACAGAGGCGCGAGAGGCCGCCAGATGCGCGATGGCCCGTACGCAGGCAAGGAACGAGAGGTGTGCGCGTCGATCGCGTACTCACATGCCCTGGTTGGTGGGTGATCTGGCATGGCTCCACTGCTCTCAGGTGCCAGCGGGCACATCCCCTAAACTGCACTGGCCTTGGCGGGGGCCTGTGACATTGGTGGACATTCGGAACCCACAGAGTGTTCGCGTCCAATACGGAAAACGTCGGTGGTACGTCCATTTGTCGCGACTCAAACCCTACGTTGACCCGCGTGCCGACCCCTCATCTCCACTTATTGACCTGCCGGGGTCTGCTGTGCCGAATATGCCGCTTGCCTCACCCGTTGATCCCCAGCAGGACTGTGTTGTGCCTCCCGCAGATGAACAGGTTTTGAGGGCTGATGAGACCCCCGCCGTCCCTCCTCCAACGGGACCTACCCCGGATACGACCAAAACCGAACATTCTCCTTCTTCTTCACGTCAACCACTTCCTGCAGATACGGCGGCAAGGCGACCATGTGCAGGAAGCGGAGAGGGTCCCGCGGCGCGTACGCGGTCGAAATCTCCTCCGTTTCGATAGCATTGATTGCCTTGCGGTCCCTTCCCTATTGTTACTGCGCTGCAGGGGCGCCCTAATGTATGTCTGTTGTTCATGGGTGATTTTGTTTTTGTTTTCGGCGCATAGACGCCTGTTTTACCCCTTTCCTTGTTAATGCGTCTTAGACGCCCTAATAAGCAACTTTATGGGATCGGCTTGTCACCCTTTTCCCAGCCGAGACGGCTGACTTTTTCACCGGCGGGGGGTGATGTAATGAGAGCCTATGTCCGGCTCACGTGGTGATCGGCTCTGCCGGTCCTGCTCTACAGCCAATGGGGGGAGAGCCTGGGAGCATGGCCCTGGCGTGATCGAGGGATGTCAGCTAGGATGATTGGTTCTGCTGGTCTTGGCTTCAGCCAATGGGAAGACAAGTCAGGGGTGCGTCTCTTGCGATCTGTCTGCCCACTTCCCGTTGCCTGCCAGCAACGGGGAGTGCTTGTGAACTGAGATAAGTAAATAAAAGGACCGATTCCACAAGTCGTCTCCAGAGTATTATTACATTTGGATACCAAAAGGGCGACGGACCCCAACATCTTCAGGGGCTGGTCAACGTGCTCGTCGGCTATGCCAAGCTCGCCATGTACAGGGCGAGGAAGGTGGCCCTAGAGGGGAAACGTCCGGCCAGCAGCGTGAGCATCTTCCGCGCTCTGGTCGGAGCCAGGGTGTGGCTGGAGTTCCGCCATGCACGACTGACCCACGCCATGCCGGCCTTCAAGGAGCAGTGGGCAATGGAGGAGGCCGTGTGCTCAGTGGCAGATGACGGGGAGCTCTGCATGCAGTTATGAGCTACCCGTCGGAGGCCGTCAGACTGCGAGAAGGGCTGTGTGCAGAACGAGAGAGAGCGAGAGGGAGCGAGAGAGTGAGCGAGAGAGTGAGCGAGAGAGTGACCGAGAGATTGAGCGAGAGAGTGAGCGAGAGGTGGGGTTTACATAAAGCAAAATTTACCAAATGATGAACGAAGCAAAGTGCCAACTACACCGAGCATCTTCTTGCTTCCACTGATCGTAAAAAAAGAGAGATGAGGGAGAGGGAGAGAGGAGGGGAAAATAGAGGGGAGAAGGCGATGGAGAATGGAGTGAAAGGAGAGAGAGAATAAGGGGGGGGGGGGAGAGAGAATGGAGAGAGGGGGGGGAGATAAAGGGGAGAGGAGAGAGGACACAGGAAATATGTGTCCGAGTGTAAATGTGTGTGTGTATGTTATGAGCACACATCATCTCCCACCCTCCCCCACCGCCAATCCAGCCTCACTCACCCCTCAACTACCCCTCACTCACTGCGCAATATATAGCCTTAAAAGACTGTTGGGGCAAGTGCTGTTAGTAGCACCAATAAAGGAAATAACGTTAAATGAGGGAGTCGGCGGCCAGTAACACGCCCGGCTGACTTTGTCTCCCTAGTGACAATGTTTTAATACATCGCACAATTAGCTCAACTGTGGCTGAGTCGACCTAAAAGAGCCGTAGGACCAGTTCAGAGAATCGTCATTGGTGTTGGCCATGAGTGGGAAACGAACTCGGGTAGGTGGGTTCGTAGTACCGCTCGCTCATCGCTTCTTCTCCCCCACACTCACTCACCCTCAAATCCCCCTCACTCACCCTCAACCCCCCCTCACTCACCCTCAACCCCCCCTCACTCACCCTCAAATCCCCCTCACTCACCCTCAACCCACCCTCACTCATCCTCAACCCCCCCTCACTCACTAACCCTCAACTCCCCCTCACTCACCCTCAACCCCCCCTCACTCACTCAGCCTCAACCCCCCTCACTCACTCACCCTCAAACCCCCTCACTCACCCTCAACTCCCCCTCACTCACCCTCAACCCCCCCCCCTCACTCATCCTCAACCCCCCCCTCACTCACCCTCAACTCCCCCTCACTCACCCTCAACTCCCCCTCACTCACTCAGCCTCAACCCCCCCTCACTCACTCACCCTCAACTCCCTCTCACTTACTCACCCTCAACTCCCCCTCACTCACCCTCAACTACCCTCACCCTCAACTCACCCTCACTCACCCTCAACTCCCCTCACTCACTCACCCTCAACTCCCCCTCACTCACTCACCCTCAACCCCCCCTCACTCACTCACCCTCAATTCCCCCTCACTCACCCTCAACTCCCCCTCACTCACTCACCCTCAACTCCCCCTCACTCACTCACCCTCAACTCCCCCTCACTCACCCTCAACCCCCCCTCACTCACTCACCCTCAACTCCCCCTCACTCACCCTCAACTCCCCCTCACTCACTCACTCACCCTCAACTCCCCTCCTCACTCACCCTCAACCCCCCTCCTCACTCACTCACCCTTAACCCCCCCTCACTCACCCTCAACTCCCCCTCACTCACTCACTCACCCTCAACTCCCCCTCACTCACCCTCAACCTCCCCCTCACTCACTCACTCACCCTCAACTCCCCCTCACTCACTCACCCTCAACCCCCCCTCACTCACTCACTCACCCTCACCCCCCCTCACTCACCCTCAACTCCCCTCACTCACTCACTCACCCTCAACTCCCCCTCACTCACCCTCAACTCCCCTCACTCACTCACTCACCCTCAACTCCCCCTCACTCACTCACCCTCACTCCCCCTCACTCACTCACTCACCCTCAACTCCCCCGCACTCACCCTCACTCCCCCTCACTCACCCTCAACTCCCCCTCACCTCACTCACTCCCCCTCAACTCCCCCTCACTCACTCACCCTCAACTCCCCCTCACTCACTCACTCACCATCAACCCCCCTCACTCACTCACCCTCAACTCCCCCTCACTCACCTCACCCTCAACTCCCCCTCACTCACTCACTCACCCTCCACTCCCCCTCACTCACCCTCAACTCCCCTCACTCACTCACCCTCAACTCCCCCTCACTCACTCACCTCACTCACTCACTCAACCCCCCCTCACTCACCCTCAACTCCCCCTCACTCACTCACTCACCCTCAACTCCCCTCACTCACCCTCAACTCCCCTCACTCACTCACTCACCCTCAACTCCCCCTCACTCACTCACCCTCAACTCCCCCTCACTCACTCACCCCTCAACTCCCCCTCACTCACTCACCCTCAACTTTCCCTCACTCACCCTCAACTCCCCCTCACTCACCCTCAACTCCCCCCCCCTCACTCACCCTCAACTCCCCCTCACTCACTCACCCTTCCCCACCTCCGCACGTCGAGCCTCAAAGACTCAGAGATGCGAGTACTAAAATGGAGACCCAATGACTTACAGATACCTATAGACTCAATCCACATCACCACACCAACCCAAGAGTAAATAACTCTTATAGGGGCCATCCATAAATGACGTCACGCACCTAGAGGGGGGTCAGACATTTGTGACGATGCGTGACGAGGGGGGGGTAGTTTGATAAATGTGACGTCACATCAAAATGCGCAACTTTAAATAAATATAGACAACACGTTCTACTGAATTAAATATACTTTTTAATAAATGTTTTCTCCTACAACATCAGAGTGCAGCACCACATCAAATACGCACTACAATGACAATAGTTTAAAGCGATTTGAAGCATGTTATATTTTTGTGGAGTCGGGCAGAGCTTTGTGACGTCATATTTGAAGGGGGGTCTGACTTTTTGTGACGCCGTGTGACGAAGGGGGGGGGGTTAAAAATCGTCCACAATCGCGTGACGTCATTTATGGACGGCCCCATACACACATTAACACGCACACCCTCACACACACTCGTACTTACGTGTACACACACACATGAGCATGCACACAAAAATATCCCCCATATAGCCTGAGGAGACTGTAGGGGCAAGTGCACCTATGAAGGCCGGTACGGCACACAAGGGGGTGGGTGGCCAACACCACGCCCGGCCGCCTTTGTCTCCCCAGTGGCGATGTGGTTTACACACCGCACCAGGTACTCATTTGAGACTGAGTCGACCTAGGTGAGGCCCAGGATCGAGTTTAGATAATCATGAGCGGGAATCGGGCTGCTGGGTTCATAGCACAGCGCGCTAACTGCTACACTACCGCTCCACACATGCACACACACACACACGTGCAAACGCACACATGCAAACGCACACACGAACACGTTTACACACGCACACGTACGCACACGTGCACACACGTGCACACACGCACATGTGCGCACACGTGCACACGCACACACGCTAACGCACCCGTGCACACGCGCTAACGCACACGTGCACACACGCACACGTGCACACGCACACACGTGCACACGCACACACGTGCACACGCTCGCGCCTACCCTCAGTGAAGGGCTCCCATTCGTAGTGGCGGCCCATGAACGGGCGGCCATTGTAGTTGGCGCACTGCACCGTCCGGAAATCTCGCACGCCGGCTGGACAGGGCTGCACACGCGCAGCAACGACACACGGCCGCCTTTGTCTCCCCAGGGTTGTTGTTTGCACCACACGCGCGCATACGTATATGCCTACACACTCATGCACGTGCAATCAAGACGCGCACACTGCCATGTCTCACAACGACAAAAACACCCCCTGCGCCCCTCCGCCACCGATGTTGACCAACATCGGTTAGCGCAGTGCGCTAACTGCGGCACGACCGCTCCACACACATACGCACGCACACAGGCGTGTGAAATGTAATCGTCGCTCATTCGTAAGGTTGCATGGTAATCTGAGAAGCTTCCAAAACCAGCTTCGCTCACTTACCAGCCTCACCCAGTTCCTAAACTCACCACTCCACTAATCACCCCTACACACACTCACACACCACTCCCCTACATATACTCAAAGACCCCTGTGTAGCCTTAACAGACTGTTGAGGGCGAGTTTTTTTGGCTAGCACCAAGTATGGCAAGCACACGAGGAGGTGGGTGGTCAGCACCACGCCCTGCTACCTTTGTCTCCCCAATGTTGATATTTACACATTGCATGCAACCAGGTACTCGTTTGAGGCTGAGTTGACCTAGAAGAGGTCCAGGAACGATTCAAATATTCACCACCAATGGTGGCCGTGAGCGGGTATCGAACACTGACGCACACAGAGACAAAGATCCCCCGTATAACCTTAACAGAATGTTGAGGCAAGTGCTGTTTAGGGAGCTGCACCAATGAAGTCCGGCAAAATCATGTAGATAGGTTCAATGAAAATTACAAAAAACTACGACGTTTCGATTGCAACTCAAGCGGTAGTCATCAGGAAAAAAATGAACCCGTAAAAACTAAGTTTTTCACTATAAATCCTTTATATGCGTGGCGGCTAGAGTCCGCTCGTCCTCTGGCTTGAGATGGCTGCCACCTATGGATCAGATGATTGCCTGCCTCCATTAAGCAATTGGTATTTAAATATAATTTTTTTTTCTTAAAAAGTGTAAAGTTATGGAAAAAAATTTTCACGAAAATAAATTGTCACGCACAACGAGTCTATGTGCAAAATGTCAGCTCGATTGGATCACCGGAAGTGGGTTAAAAAACGACCGAAAGATTTGCACGGTCGTAAGCGCGCAAGCAAGCAAGCAAGTGAAATTAATATAAAGGATTTAAAAAGCAGTCGTTATCAGGAGAATTTTTTTTTCCTTATGTAATAAGAGCCTATGTCAGATTCACATGGTGATCGGCTTTTCCGGTCCCGCTTTACAGCCAATGGGGGGAGAGCCTGGGAGCATGGCCTCGGCGTGATCAAGGGATGTCAGCTTGGTTTCGTGGGTCTTGGCCTCAGCCATTGGGAAGACAAGTCGGGGGCGTGGTCCCGGGAGTTGATGGGGGATCTGGAACATTCGGCGCAGGCTATTGAGGATTGGCTGGAGTGTACCACGTGACCCAGGCATTAAATAAGGGGAGAGAGGAGAGACACGGTGTCAGACACGGAACTAAGAGAGAGAGAGGCCACGCGCGAGTGGGGCTCCGGGTGCCACGTGGTGGTGTGTCTCTGGTGGCTGTCTGCCCGCTTCCCGTTGCCTGCCAGCAACGGGGAGTGTTTGTGAACATAAAAGGAAGTGAAATAAAAGGACCGATTCTACAAGCCGTCTCCAGCGTGTTATTACACTTATGACTACTCAGGCCATTGGGTTCGTAGTGGCGAACTAACCGTGACACTACTGGCACACACAAAGATCCCCCATGTAACCTGTAACAGACTGTAGAGGCAAGTGCTGTTAGCGAGCACCTATGAAGGTCGGCACGGCACATGACGGGGTGGGTGGCCAACACCACGCCCGGCCGCCTTTGTCTCCCCAGTGCCAATGTTTAGACATTCCACCAAGTACTCATTTGAGGCTGAGTCGACCTAGGGGAGGCCCAGGACCGGTTCAGATAATCGTCACCGGTGTTGGCCATGAGCGGGAATCGATCTCGGGTCGCCAGGTTCGTAGCGCAACACGCTAACCGCTACACTGCCGCTCTCCACACACACATACACTGGCACACACATGGTACCTGCGCGTTGCACAGGCGGTGACGCCGGAAAGCACCAACACAGCTGATGGAGGTGCGCGGAGACCCAGATCCAGCTCCACCAGCGGGCCACAGGGCCTGGCCGGTCTGGTGGGCGAGTGTGGCATGCGTGGAACGAGATGCCCGGAGGCTGCACGCCGCAACATCGCACATTACCAAACATCACGGCGGCATCACCACCGATATGTAGCACCATCGACACAATAGAGCATCATCACCACATTGTCGCATCACAATCACTACCATCACGGTGACGTCTCCCTGGTAACGGGAATCTGGCTCTAGCTCTAAGAGTTAAAAATAAGAGTGACGTCGCGACCACAGCTGCGAGAGCCGGAGACACGGAGACGACACGGTGACATGGGGGGACACACACAGACACAACGGGGGCATGAGGGGACACACACAGATACAACGGGGACATGGACAACCTAATTTTTTGTTACTTTTCTATTTTACCTGATAAGGCCCACTGAGCTGTACAGCTCTTTTTTTCAGAAGTGACCTGGCCACAAATGATAGCTCAACGAAGTGGCTTATCATGTGGGAATTTTTTTAACTGAACGACCCGGAAAAAAATTAACGCGACCACTGGGAGAGAGCTACGCAAACTCCACATATGCAGCAGGCGTCAGGGTTGGGATCAAACAGACAACCTCCTGCATACCAGGCGAGGGAGTTAACATCTCACCACAGTGGCGCCCCTTAACACACGGAGGACACACACAGACGCACAAATGTCTGGGAAAAGTGGCCGCCAAAACCCTGCGGTGCGGGGAGTCCCGACCCAGATGCCCCCCTCTCCCCCAGAACCCCTCCCCCCGCCCCATAGTAGCAATAATGGCTTCAAGCTGAGGCCAGCGAAGCAGCCCCTAAGCAGGACCCTCCCTCTGCCCCTCGTGAGAGCGTGTGGGCTGCGAGTCGTCCACAGGGTGTCGGGGTAAACAGGGGTGCGTGCCAATCGCCGGGTTAGCAGGGGGTGTGTGAGTCACTCACCGGGTGAGCAAGGGGGTGAGAGTAACTCACCTGATGAGTGGGAGTGTGTAAGTTGCTCACCTTGTGAGTGGGACTGTGTAAGCCACTCACTGGTGAACAAGGGTGTGTACATCACTCTCTGGTGAGTGGGACATGCGAGTCACTCACCGAGTGAGCAAGGGTGTGCAAGTGACTCACCGGGTGAGCGGGGGCTGTGCGCGATGCATGGAACTGAGCACTCTCGCTGGAAAACGTCCCTGCAGGGAATGAGCTGAGCCACGAGCACCATGCCAGAGCCGGCTGAGCTGATGCTGCTGCTGATGCTGCTGATGCTGCTGATACTGCTGGCTTGCATGCACTGGCTCAAGCTCCTGGAGGTCACTGTAGCCGTGCTGCTGCCGCCGCCGCTGGTACTGCTGCTGGTGGTGGCCGTATCCGTGCCCCCCTTGCTCCGCGGGTGGCGCAGGGGCACGGGGGGCCGCGGGCAGACATGGCCTCATCTGCTCCATGACCCCCCCTTCACATGTACGCGTGCAAGGGGACCAGGGCCCCCACTGACCCCAGGTCCCAGTGACCTCCCCAACCGCTGGAACCGGCCCCTCCTCCATCCCCCCAGCTCCAATCCGGGTGCCGCTCCACCGCTGGGGTTCCACCTGCCTCCTCGCCCGGTGAGCGGCGACTCTTCCTGGCTCCTCCAGGTCCTCTGGGTCTCCTGGCCAGGGGGGAACTGGGTCCTGCCAAGACTGCAAAGGTCAGTCCCCTCCGTGTCACTCTTCTCTAGATACGACAATGGTCACTTTTCTCATGCACTCTTCTCTGGTTCACTCCGCTCGTTGATTCATTCCACTCACTCACCCCCCACCCACTCACCCCCCACCCACTCACCCACCCAACCCATTCACCCCCCACCCACTCACCCACCCAACCCATTCACCCCCCACCCACTCACCCACCCAACCCATACACCCCCCACCCACTCACCCCCCACCCACTCACCCACCCAACCCATTCACCCCCCACCCACTCACCCACCCAACCCATACACCCCCCACCCACTCACTCACCCAACCCATTCACCCCCCACCCACTCACCCACCCAACCCATACACCCCCCCCCCACCCACTCACCCACCCAACCCATTCACCCCCCACCCACTCACCCACCCAACCCATACACCCCCCACCCACTCACCCACCCAACCCATACACCCCCCACCCACTCACCCACCCAACCCATTCACCCCCCACCCACTCACCCACCCAACCCATTCACCCCCCACCCACTCACCCACCCAACCCATTCACCCCCCACCCACTCACTCACCCAACCCATTCACCCCCCACCCACTCACCCACCCAACCCATTCACCCCCCACCCACTCACCCACCCAACCCATACACCGCCCAATTCACTCACCCATCTACTCACCCCCCACCCATTCACCCACCCAACCCATTCACCCCCCACCCACTCACCCACCCAACCCATTCACCCACCACCCACTCACTCACCCAACCCATTCACCCCCCACCCACTCACCCACCCAACCCATTCACCCCCCACCCACTCACCCACCCAACCCATTCACCCCCCACCCACTCACCCACCCAACCCATACACCCCCCACCCACTCATTCACCCAACCCATTCACCCCCCACCCACTCACCCATCCAACCCATACACCGCCCACCCACTCACCCACCCAACCCATTCACCCCCCACCCACTCACCCACCCAACCCATACACCGCCCAATTCACTCACCCATCTACTCACCCCCCACCCACTCACCCAATCACCCACTCAGCCAACCACTCAACACTCACAAAAGATTCACCCACTCAACAACAGCAACCGCCATTCACCATTGTGGTGTTAACTAAAGCAGAGCGCTTGTGCCAGACTAGGTGCACTTTGAGGCCACGTGAAGTGTGGAATGCTCTCGCTGTTGACAGGTCACAGAACAGACCCAGGTGCCATGGGTTGAGTGAATGAGATACACTAGTTGTGCCCCCTACTGTGCCACCTCGCTGCGTTTTATATGCCCAGCGCACCACTCAATGTTGTGAGCGTCGCTCCTCTGCTCTGTTGCTGGAGGGCGAATGCCTGAAACTGGCCAGTAGCGTTCTTCATGAGCCTCCTCCACAGAGGGCAATTTTGACACCGCCAACGCAGCCTTGCCTTGCCAAAGAAGCTCACTGATGATGGGACTGTATCCAGATCTTTCAAGGATCTGTGAACTCCTTACACTATCCAGTCTGATTGAACCCAGGATGGATCATAGGCAGGCCAGCCTGAATGTTTCAAACCAGTGCAGATGTTACTTTAAACGGGTCCGTGTTTCACAAGCATAGAGAAGGGAGGGGCATAACTGTGGCCAAGAACAAAATAGTCTGGCTTTGTTATTGTGGGGCGGATGGGTGAGTGACACGCTCCAGGTTCCGCAGCAGTCTCCAACTCCTCATCAGAGTGAGCAGAAATTACCAGATTATCAACATGGTTGACCAATAGGAAGCCATTCCTTGAGCGCACCCGGGCACCGGTCAGCTTCTCACACATTCACACCCACAGGCATTTAACATACTGTTGGGGCAAGTGCTGTTAGCGAGCGCCGATGAAGACTGGCAGGACACACGAGGGGGTCGGTGGCCAGCACTACGCCCGACCGCCTTTGAGTTGACCTAGGGGAGGCCCAGGACCGGTTCAGAAAATCGTTACTGGTGTTGGTTGAGCGGGAATCAAACTCGGGCCGCCGGGTTCACAGTGCAGTGTGCTAACCGCTGCGCCACTACTCCCCACACACGTGCATCCCCGCATGCACACACACACACGGCAAGTGCTCATAGAGGCAGCCGAAGGCAGGGTTGGTGTCTCACTTGTTGCTGCTGCCGAGCTGTGCAGTCCCTGGGGTAGACGCAGATGCAGAGGAGCAGCGCCGCCACCTGCCGCCTGTGTGACGCACACCGACACACACCATGCAGCACACACAAACTCACACAAGCATACACTATGCAGCACACACTATGCAGCACACACAAACTCACACCAGCATACACTATGCAGCACACACGATGCAGCACACAGCAGCACACACGATGCAGCACACAGCAGCACACACCATGCAGCCCCCCCAGAAAACCCCACCAGTCACACACACAAACTCACCTTTCCAAGCACAGAGTATGCACAGGTGTAGTAAGTGGGTGTAAGCGTCAGGTGTGAGTGGTTGTGAGTGCTCTCTCCTCACCGGGTGAGCGGGGTGCGTGAGCTCTGGGGGCGATTCCCCCCACCCCCCATCCCCCCCCGCCCCCGCCCTGCGGGCTCCCTAAGGCATTGGGAACATCACCTACACACATCACCACCATCATCCCGATTAACATCACCTACACACATCACCACCATCATCCCGATTAACATCACCTACACACACCACCACCATCACTATTAACATCACCTACACACACCACCACCATCACTATTAACATCACCTACACACATCACCACCATCACCACGATTAACATCACCTACACACATCACCACCATCACTATTAACATCACCTACACACATCACCACCACCATCACCATTAACATCACCTACACACATCACCACCACCATCACCATTAACATCACCTACACACATCACCACCATCACTATTAACATCACCTACACACATCACCACCACCATCACCATTAACATCACCTACACACATCACCACCATCATCACGATTAACATCACCTACACACACCACCACCATCACCATTAACATCACCTACACACATCACCACCATCACTATTAACATCACCTACACACATCACCACCACCATCACCATTAACATAACCTACACACATCACCACCACCATCACCATTAACATCACCTACACACATCACCACCGCCATCACCATTAACATCACCTACACACATCACCACCATCACCACGATTAACATCACCTACACACATCACCACCACCATCACAATTAACATCACCTACACACATCATCACCATCACCATTAACATCACCTACACACATCACCACCATCACCACGATTAACATCACCTACACACATCACCACCATCACCATTAACATCACCTACACACATCACCACCATCACTATTAACATCACCTACACACATCACCACCATCATCACCATTAACATCACCTACACACATCACCACCATCATCACCATTAACATCACCTACACACACCACCACCATCATCCCGATTAACATCACCTACACACACCACCACCATCATCACTATTAACATCACCTACACACACCACCACCATCATCCCGATTAACATCACCTACACACATCACCACCATCATCCCGATTAACATCACCTACACACATCACCACCATCATCACGATTAACATCACCTACACACATCACAACCATCACCATTAACATCACCTACACACATCACCACCATCACTATTAACATCACCTACACACATCACCACCATCACCACGATTAACATCACCTACACACATCACCACCATCACCATTAACATCACCTACACACACCACCACCATCATCACCATTAACATCATCTACACACATCACCACCATCACTATTAACATCACCTACACACATCACCACCATCACCACGATTAACATCACCTACACACATCACCACCATCATCACCATTAACATCACCTACACACATCACCACCATCACTATTAACATCACCTACACACATCACCACCATCACCACGATTAACGTCACCTACACACATCACCACCATCACCACGATTAACATCACCTACACACATCACCACCATCATCACCATTAACATCACCTACACACATCACCACCACCATCACCATTAACATCACCTACACACATCACCACCATTAACATCACCTACACACATCACCACCATCATCACCATTAACATCACCTACACACATCACCACCACCATCACGATTAACATCACCTACACACATCACCACCATCACTATTAACATCACCTACACACATCACCACCACCATCACCATTAACATCACCTACACACATCACCACCACCATCACCATTAACATCACCTACACACATCACCACCATCACTATTAACATCACCTACACACATCACCACCATCACCACGATTAACATCACCTACACACATCACCACCATCACTATTAACATCACCTACACACATCACCACCATCACCACGATTAACATCACCTACACACATCACCACCATCACCATTAACATCACCTACACACATCACCACCATCATCATTAACATCACCATTAACATCACCTTCACAAAACATCACCACCATCACCATTAACATTGCCTACATGCATCATCACCACCATCATCACCTACACACATCACCACCATAAACATCACCTACACACACCATCAACATCATGACCATTAACATAATCATTTCCTACACACTTCATCATCACCATTAACATCATGAACATCTACCAACAACCAGCAACATCACCAACATCAGCAGCAGCAACATTAACTTCAACATCTCAATCAACAGCGCAATCAGCATCAACATCATCATTGTCAACTTCACTATCAGTAACAGCATCAACAACATCATCATCATCACCAACGTCACCATCATCAGCAGCAACCTCAGCATCATCATCATCACCATCACGCGACTCCCCGACTCCGGGCCCGCAGCGCGAGAGAGGGAGGGAGGGAGAGGACCTGATGCTCTCTCCTCACTCTCCCGAGGCCTCTCTCCCACGCTCTCTCCCACGCTCTCTCCCACGCTCTCTCCCACGCTCTCTCCTCCCCCTTTCGCTACGGAGGCCTCTCCCCTCTCCCCGCACGGCCTGAGACTCCACTTTCCCTCCCTCCCTGCCTGTCACTCTCCCCACCCCGCACTTTCTCTCGCTTCTATTCCCTCCACTTTATCTCCCTCCCTACTCTCTTCGCTCTCCCTACACTCTCCCGTCTCTTCTTCCACGATCTCCCAAACTCTCTCTCCCGTCCTACCACCCCCTACATTCTCCCTATCGCTCCCCTCCCTCTAATCTCTCCACTCTCCCTCTCTCCATTCTCTCCTCTCTCTCTCGCCCCTCCCCGCTCTCCCGTCTCCCCCCCCTCTCCCCGTATCCCCCCCTCCTCTCCCCGTCTCCCCCCCTCCTCTCCCCGTCTCCCCCCCTCCTCTCCCCGTATCCCCCCCCTCCTCTCCCCCCCCCCTATCCCCGTCTCCCCCCGTCTCCCCGTCTCCCCGTCTCCCCGTCTCCCCGTCTCCCCGTCTCCCCCCCCTCTCCCCGTCTCCCCCCCCTCCCCGTCTCCCCCCCCTCTCCCCGTCCCCCCCCCTCTCCCCGTCTCCCCCCCTCCCCCCGTCCCCCCCCCCTCTCCCCGTCTCCCCCCTCTCCCCGTCTCCCCCCCCTATCCCCGTCTCCCCCCCTCTCCCCGTCCCCCCCCCCTCTCCCCGTCCCCCCCCCCCTCTCCCCGTCTCCCCCCCCCCTCCCCGTCTCCCCCCCCTCTCCCCGTCCCCCCCCCTCTCCCCGTCCCCCCCCCTCCCTCTCCCCGTCTCCCCCCCCTATCCCCGTCTCCCCCCCCTCTCCCCGTCCCCCCCCTCTCCCCGTCTCCCCCCCCTCCCCGTCTCCCCCCTCTCCCCGTCTCCCCCCTCTCCCCGTCTCCCCCCCTCTCCCCGTCTCCCCCCCCTCCCCGTCCTCCCCCCCCTCTCCCCGTCCCCCCCCCTTCTCCCGTCTCCCCCCCCTCCCCGTCTCCCCCCCCTCTCCCCGTCCCCCCCCCCCCTCTTCCCCGTCCTCCCCCCCCCCCCCCTCTCCCCTCTCCCCCCCCCTCCTCTCCCCCCCCCCCCCCCCCCCCCCCCCCCCCCCCCCCCCCCCTCCTCTCCCCCCCCCCCCCTCCTCTCCCCCCCCCCCCCCCCCCCCTCCTCTCCCCCCCCCCCCCCTCCTCTCCCCCCCCCCCCCCCCCCCCCTCTCCCCCCCCCCCTCCCCCCCCCCCCCCTCCCTCCCCCCCCCCCTCCTCTCCCCCGTCTCCCCCCCCCTCCTCTCCCCCCGTCCCCCCCCCTCCTCTCCCCCCGTCTCCCCCCCCCCTCCTCTCCCCCCGTCTCCCCCCCCCCTCCTCTCCCCCCGTCTCCCCCCCCCCCTCCTCTCCCCCCGTCTCCCCCCCCTCCTCTCCCCGTCTCCCCCCCCTCCTCTCCCCCCGTCTCCCCCCCCCTCTCCCCGTCTCCCCCCCCTCTCCCCGTCTCCCCCCCCCTCTCCCCGTCTCCCCCCCCTCTCCCCGTTCCCCCCCCTCTCCCCGTTTCCCCCCCTCTCCCCGTTTCCCCTCACCTCCCCCCGTCTCCCCCCCCCCTCCTCTCCCCCCCCCCCCTCCTCTCCCCCCCCCCTCCTCTCCCCCCCGTCTCCCCCCCCTCCTCTCCCCCCGTCTCCCCCCCCCTCCTCTCTCCCCGTCTCCCCCCCCTCCTCTCCCCCCGTCTCCCCCCCCTCCCCGTCTCCCCGGGAGAGTTCCCTGTGGCTGTCATTGGCCGTGGCTGGGGTAAGGGGGAGGAGTGGTGGAGGGGCACGGCGCCCCCCGCCCCTCGCTGGGGGATCCGCCCCGCCCCTACCCTTCCACGTGTCACGCGCGTCTCCCCTCGCGCGCGACCCCTGCCCGGGGGGGGGGGGGGTAATTAGGCGCGTGCCCATTAATGCTGCCCGCGCGCCACACGATGAGAGGGGGGACCGCGGGGGGAGGGGCGGGCTGAGACCCCCCTCCCCACAACGCGGTGGGTGGTCCCGTCGCGTTGTGGGGGGGGGGCATGAGGAACCCATTTCTCATTGCGGGGGTCACGTGTTGCTCACTCTGCAGGTACTCGCGTTGCCAAGGCAACCAGGTACCACAGCGGGGACTGACGCTCCCCCTCACCGCCCCTGTAGGCCCCCTTCCCCGCCTCGCCGGGTGGCGCCACTAGGTCCGTTTCGACGAGTAGATAATTATTAGCGCCTCATGTCGAGGGGGAGAGGGTAGTTTGAGGTAGTTCCCCCCCCCGCCCCCCTCGTGACAAATGCCCCCCACCCTCCCCTCTGCCCCTCACCCTCCCCCTGCCCCCCACTCCGCTCCGCCAAATTCATCCCAGACTCGCCACCGCTGTAAAGCGAGAACGCGGCGCACGTGTGGGGGTGGGGTGGGGGGTTCCTTGGCAACGGAGCGTGGGATTAGGGTCGGGTGGTGAGAGTGCGTGTACACACACATACACACACCTACACACACTTACACACACCTACACACCCACACACACCTACACACACACCCACACACACCTACACACACACTTACACACACCCACACACACCTACACACACCTACACACCCACACACACCTACACACACCTACACATCCACACACACCTACACACACCTACACATCCACACACACCTACACCTACACACACACTTATACGCACCTACACACACCCACACACACCTACATACACCTACATACACACACCCATACACACCCACACCTAAACACACTTACACACACCTACACACCCACACAACCCTACACCCCTACACACACATCCACACACACCTACACACACACTTATACGCACCTACACACACCCACACACACCTACATACACCTACATACACACACCCATACACACCCACACCTAAACACACTTACACACACCTACACACCCACACAACCCTACACCCCTACAACAACAACAACAACCGCCATTCGCCACTAAGTGGCGGTGACGTCACCACGATGCTTGTGCCAGGCCAAGTGCACCTTGAGGCCACGTGAAGTGTCGAAAGCCCGCTGGCAGGAGGTCACGGGGCAGACCCAGGTGCCACTGGTCGACTGACCGAGATGACCGAGATGACTGGCTGATGCACCACCTGTGCCCCCTACTGTGCCAACTTGCTGTGCTTTAGCCACCCGGCGCTCCGCTCGTTGTTGTGAGCGTCGCTCCTCCGCCCTCCGTTGTTGTTGGAGGGCGACTGCCTCCAACTGCCCAGTAGCGTCCTTCACGAGCCTCCTCCACTGAGGCCGATCTTGACACCGCTGGTACCAGTCATCGGCAAGTCCACTCAGCTCCACGTCCTCCTGTACCACATCACTCCATCTCTTCTCCAGCCCGTGCCGCGCCCGTCTAGCCCCCTCGATCCGGCCGAACAAAAGCTGTTTAGGCATGCGGTGGCTGGGCATGCGGGCTACATGACCCAGCCAACGCAGCCTTGCCTGCCGGAGGAGCTCACTGATGGGACTTTGCCCAGATCTTTCAAGGATTTGTGAGCTCCTCACACAATCCAGCCTGGTTAAACCCAGGATGGATCGTAGGCAGGCCAGCCTAAATGTTTCCAACCGGCGAAGATGCTCCACCAGGGGGGTCCACGTCTCGCAAGCGTAGAGAAGGGAGGGAATGACCGTGGCCGAGAAGACCTGAAGCTTCGTGCGGAGCGACAGACCAGGTAGCTTCCACACAGCGTTACGCAACCGATGAAAAGATATTGCCGCTCGACTGATTCGGAGTGAGACCTCTGCTGATAGACTGGAGCCGGTCATAAGCATACTGCCCAGGTATGGGAAACTCTCCACTCTCTCCACAACTGCCCCATCACCAATTGGGAGTTGTGGGGGTGGAGTGTCCGATGGTACAAAATACCCAGGCAGGTGCTTGGTTTTGGTGGGGCTGATGGTAAGGCCCCACCTCTTAGTGGCACGCTCCAGTCTCAGCAACAGCGCCTCCAACTCCTCTTCTGAATGAGCAGCTATTACCAAATCATCGGCATACATAACGTGGTTGACCAATAGGGAGCCATCCCTTGATCGCACCCGGGCGTCGATCAGCCTCCCATTATATCTGTACCAAACGGAAATTCCCCCGGTACAGCTATTGAAGGCTTCACGAACTACGCGGTCAAAATAGATGTTAAATAATGTGGGAGCCAGAGGACATCCCTGTCGCACCCCAAGGTGTACAGGGAAAGGCTCCGACTCCCGGCCACGTAGTTTTACCCGGGCCCGCTCACCATCATGAAGGTCCTTAATGATCGTGAGCAGAGGGCCAGGGACTCCGAAAGCACGAAGAACAACCCAGAGTCCAGTCCTACTGATGGTATCATAGGCCTTGACCAGGTCAATAAAGCAGAGATGTAGGTCTTTTTGGAATTCCCTACACCTCTGCTGTAGCAGACGGACAGAAAATATGGCATCTGTGCAGGACCGCCCTTTCCTGAAACCGCATTGGGGCTCCGCAAGCCCCTCCTCAGCGTGCCTAGCAAGGCGATGTTGAATAATCCTTGCCAGGACCTTACCCGGCACACTGAGGAGTGAGATGCCCCTGTAGTTGTTACAGTCTGTGCGGTCCCCCTTCTTAAAGAGGGGGACCACCAGGGCATCCTTCCAGTCCTGCGGAACCCGTCCAGTGGTCCAGACTGTTGTTATGATGTCATATAGGGCAGTCTGTGCACAAACGCCACCCTCCCTCAGCATTTCGCTTGGGAGATCATCTCTGCCCGGTGCCTTCCCTGGTCTCAGACTCCGGATCGCCCTCAGTACTTCCTCAACAGCTGGAACCTCAGCCAGCCACTCACAGGGGGTGACCTCTTCCAATATTTGAGGCACCGCAGCCTCAGCAGGGTTATCCCCACTTTGTGCCATGATGTTTTCCTGGCTGAGAGAATTTCCCTCCCCCAGGACCTCACAGAAATGCTCAGAAAATCTGCAAACCTGTTCCTGGGGGTCGGAGATTGGATCACCGTTTTTTCCTC